TCTGGTCCTTTTCTCAGTGAGTCTTTTTCTCTCCGAGCAATGAGTCCGAAGAAGTCAATTCTGCCAATCTCATTCCTTTGCTCTTCGAAGGTCATCGCTTTTTTTTTCTCCTACAATTTTTGTTCGGCGTCGGCTAATGAAGCTTCGAAGGTCATCGCTTTATTTTCTCCTAGGGTTTCTGTTCAGCATCGGCTAATGTTCAAAAATCATATCCTCATGCTTATAAAATGTGATCGTGGTACATTAGTAGATCCTTTTATCCTTTTAGCAAATCCTAAACCTCATAGTCATAGTCGCTTTTTACCTGAATTCATGAACCCCTCTTCAGTCCTTAATTTCCAAACCCTCGTCATGACTGACCAATTTCATCTTGGGATTGACTTTCAGTGATTTAGCATTCGGGTTCAATAACCTCCCTGTCTTGTCTATGGATCAGTTTTTTATCTGGCATCGACCTCGCCATACCCACGGAAGCATTTGTGGTAGATCTTGCTGATTTAGCCATTGAGTTTAGAGAGCTGTGCTTTACGGAAAGAAGTATCTCACGCTGTGCTTTGTTGAAGGAGTATTCCTTTGTCTTGAATTTGGTCAGCAGGTTTATTCTATCTATTCTTCCTTCCATTTGGATACTTTATTTATTCTTCAATTTTCCATTATTTGTTTTCTATTATGGGATCCAAGCCAACTAATTTCTTTAAAAACTTCAGTATCAAAGCCTCTATAGATTCAAATGTTTTTGTTAGAACTGCTTTAAATGATGTTTATGCTAAGTGCTCTTCAATAAAAGATGTAAATCAGGTATTTCAGGAGCATACGAAAAATAAGTCCTATAACATGGAGTTCTATGGTGGGCAGGATATGTACTAAATAGGTTCTATGAAGGCATCTTGCTACTGTTTCATAGTTCTCAATTAATAAGTTTGGAGCCAGATCAGCTTATGGTTTCATCTGCTATTAATGCTTGTGCAGGTTTGTCAACTTTGATCGAAGGGAACTTTGATCTCAAAGATCTATTCGAGGTTTGCAATAGTAGGGCCTTGAGATCTGATGATAATGTAGATACTGTGTATGTTCTGGTGGCTCTTTGGATTCAGGGTCAATGATTCTATTCATTTTAGCCTTGATTATTTCCCTTTCGATGATCCTGATAATGATGAGCTTTAGTTTCATAACTCAAAACGCAGGTACATGTTGCAATATTATTGGTGTACGCATAACATTTGATCATTGTTCCTACTATTACAAATAATCAATTTGATGTAACATGATGTTGCAATATATATATCTATATATATATATATATCAAAAGTTAGTGGAGGGCTTGCATGAACTGTATCTTGGTATATATATACATATATGAACTATGTACTGTACATGTGTTTTGTTTGTGAAGTCTAAATCAAAAAAGAAGATGCCAAAATTGGAGTTAGTGGAGCCCAAAGGACAAAAACGTATGGAGAGAGTAATTAATGAATTGAAGGTAGGCAGGAAAACACACACAGTTAGATCTGATCAAAGTCTTTGGCTCTTTGGTAAGTGACAAAATGGATCATTGTTAGAAATATATATATATATATATGTATGTATGTATGTATGTATGTATATGTATATATATAAATAAAGTTGTTTTTATTTTTAAGTCCTTCCAAAACATGTTGTGACTTCCTCTTCACACGTTAAAGCTATGGCATTAACACAAGTCCTGTAGAAGATTCTTAGATAGAGAGAGGTCTCTATTGTTCTTCTTCATTTTTTTCACTTTATTAATTATATGAATTGATAGCAAATGATGAATTGGCATGCTACGTAAGTCAAGGAACTGGAGCTAAGGCAAGTCCTTTCTATTGCTTTGAATAGTTGTAAATCTAGAAGATTATCAGCATGAGTAATCTTGTCTTGACTATCTAATCTTATACTTGCCTTTGTCTTCTGATAAATGTCTTTCTTGAGGTTATACTTTTAGATAGAATATATGTTCTAAACTTTTCAAATACAGACTATTAGAATCATTAATTTTTAATTATAAATTTATGCTATATCAGAAAAACTAGTTTTAATGTTTGATAGTAAGAATTAAATCCTAGGCACTTTGAAATTGGAAAAAAATAAATTTTGATTCCTAATACCAGTTTCAATACTTTACATAAGAAAATTAAATCTCAATCACTTCGAGAATTGAAAAGGATTAAATTCTAAAGATTTAAATTATTCTTTATCTCATTGGAACTTAGAAAACCATTCTTCTAGTATCCGTCTATTAAATTCGTAACTAATTGATTTTCCAACCAAAAGTCTCTCATTGTAGTGCCTCTTGAGAAATTGAAACATTCATTTTCTGATATTTCATGTACCATTTATCAATTTAATTTAATTTAATGATGTAGTGAGAATTATTTTTCTCTTATTCCAAACACCTAATAAATTACAATATGCTTCTTATTGCTTGCATGCATTTATAAAAGGCCCCAGATTTTATTACTTTACATTCTTTCCTTCCAAATATAACTATTCTTCTTTCTAATTCTTCTTAATCAAATTGTGTACTTGAATCATATAAGGCAAAGATGGAATTTGATGAGTATGACTTTGTTCAAGACAATAATGACTCCATGGAGACATGGTATATTGTCATAAGAGTTTTGAGAAAATGGCACATAAACTAGAAAAATTCCTCTTACCATATCTGGAACATTTCATTCTTGCTCATTGATGAGAAGGTATTCATTCAAACAATTCTGAAGAAATGTAGGCCATTGACATCTACGACAAATGTAGTTTACAAGAAAATTTTTCAAGATGTTGAATGAGGGAAAAACAATATGTTTCATATTAAATTTGAATAAATGTATCCATATTATGTATTCTTTGTGGAAATAATGCATTGTAAGAAAATGCAATCTAACCAATCTTCTTATCTGATTTTTATTAAAATCTCATTCTTTTCATAACTCAATAATGCATAATGGAATCATCAAAAATTAGATATTTTTAACCTTTACCTATAATTTACTATAGGATTGGGAAACAAAGATAAGATGTTAATAAGTCAAACATCCAAAAAGGAAAATGGCATGTAGAATAACACTTGAAAATATAACAATCTCACATCCATCTTTATCCATGGCATCAATTATATTTTTCCCAAATTCCTCAATTCTAACCCGTGCAACGCACGGGAAAGAGCCTAGTTTCATTATCATATATTGTATGTTTCTCACTCCTTCTTCATGCATGTCGTGCGCACTACCAGGATAGGTTTCCAATTTAATAAATGATACTTGATAAAATAGAAAAAATTAATACCCATTAACCTTTAGAATTTCATATCATTTCAATACATGTTCCTTAAATTCTAATATATTTGTATATATTTTGATTATTTAAATCAAGAAAAAATATGCATTTTGTATTGGATTTGCTCATTGAGCTTTATTGTGTTATCTTTGGCATAATTTATGCTATTTGTGTTTAAGGTCTAGTTGGAAGCATTTTGGACCCTTGATGGTACTTTTGGAATGCTTTTGGATGAAGAAATCAAATGGAAAGATTAGTCATGTTAATTGGAAGAAGCATGCAAAACTAGGGCCAAAGTCGCGACTTTCATCTCTGTTAGAGGTTTTCTTTTGAAGAGCTTGAACAAGACTCTGATTTACTTCATCCCGAAATGTGAAGTCACTCAGTCTTTTAAGGACTATATGCCAATTAGTCTTTGTACAGTGATCTATAAAATCCTCCCAAAAGTTCTTGCGAGTAATATCAAGCAGATCCTGGATGACTGCATCTCGCCTCATCAAAGTGAAAGGAAGACTCATTTCAGAAAATATTTGATTGCTGAGAGCTTTTGCACTACATTCATTCATCGAAGAAGTGTGAAGGTAAATGGGCAGCGCTTAAGATTGACTTTTCAAAGGCTTTTGACAAAATTTCTTGGCCTTTTCTTCAGGCTGTTTTATCCGAAATGAATTTTCCTCCCATTTGGATTTCTATGATTATGCAATGTGTCTCCTCTGTGTCGTATCAGCTTTTATTAAATGGCAAGCCTTCCAAAATTTCAATCCAAAGAGGGGGATTAGGCAAGGAGATCCTCCATCTCCATATCTCATCATTATCTGTGCTAATGTCCTTTCTTTTGCCATTACAAAAAGCGAACATTGTAAAAATTGGGAAGGATTAAAATTTGCAGGGGAGGAGAAGCTATGACTCATCTTAGCTATGCAGATGATACTTTATTATTTTTCAAAGCTGGGAAAATCCAATGCAAATGTGAAGGAAGCAATTGATGATTATTGTTTTTTCTCTGGTCAAGAAGTTAATTTCAATAAATCAGAGGTTATTTTCAGTCCCAATACCACACCTTTGTTGCGCTGGAATTTTAAACGCTCGTTACTCTTCTTCTTTGGGCATATATCTCGGAATGTTCATTAATAATGGATCTAGAAAGCACAGAATTTTCAGGGATTTGATGCAAAAAATTCAAGCAAAGCTTGGAAGTTGGAAGATTTTGATGTTATCCCAAGCTGGAAAACTAACTCTAATCAAATCAGTTTTGGCCTCTTCCAGCATTTATCAACTTTCATGCTTCCTTCCACTAAAGAGCCTGGCGGCAAAACTTGATTCCATATGTGCGAATTTTTTCTAGGGTCCATCTTCTAATGGCAGTAATAAAATGCATTTTGTCCCATGGAAGAATTTATGCAAGCATAAGAGTCTTGTAGGTCTGGGCTTCAGATCTACTTATCACACTAATATGGCTTTACCTGCAAAGCAGGCATGGAGGATTGTTTCTGCAAATGCAAATTCTCTGGTGGGGAAGACTCTACAGGTTAAATATTTGGATTTTATTCTGAAGGGTGATTGCAAGCCTAGAAATAGATTCTCATGGGTCATGAAGGATGTTCTTAAGGTTTCCTTTTTGATTGCGAACAACCTAAAATGGCAGATTGGTGATGGAACTATGATTCCTTTAGACCATGTGAAATGGTTTCCTTTGCAAAATGACTCAGCAAATCATAATGTCACCGTGGCTAATCTTATTTATAAAGAACAAGCTTTCTGGAATGAACAGCTCTTATCTTCCCTTTATTCACGCCGAATCAAGGAGGAAATGTAAGTACATCCTTCTCCCTGTTTAGACAAGATGATCGTTTTATCTGGAGCAAATCAAATGATGGTGTTTATTAAGTCAAAGCTGGATATAACCCATCAGATGTCTCTGATTCAAATTGGAATTTCTTTTGGAAAATAGATTTGCCATTCCGTTGTTTACTGTTTATTTGGAGAATTATCAATGATGCTATTCCAACACCTGAGATTATTCGTAGGCATCATCGTCAATGTTCATCCTTATGCCCTTTCTACAAAGATCAGGAGGAATCTTCAGATCATATTTTCCTTTCCTGCGACTTTGCCAGAGCAGTTTCGTTTGCTTCAACCTTTTTTTTTTTTTTCAGATCAAGTGATGTGGATAACATTAAAGTTTTCATCTCTTGCTAGGTTAAAACTGCTGAACTTAACTCCAACAATGTTCCTATTCACCAAAGAATTTTCCTCACTCTGCAAACTCTTTGGGATTCTAGAAACCTAGTAAAACATCAATCAAAAGAAATTCATCCTTTTCAGGTAATTCAAAAGGTCAAATGGTATACATCCTTTTTGTCCCTAACTTTAGATGAAATACCAAAAACTCCAAACAGATGAACTCATGCAAAAGGTTAGAAATAGTTGAAGCTAAAGCAAGACCTGGTTGTTTTCTCATCATTGATTTGGTGAACAAAGTCATACTTTAGGGAGTAAATCGAAAGGACTTGACATCATTATATTCAGGGATTTTAATTTTGTCAATGCAAGAAGAAAGATTTTGGACAACGAATGGTAATCCTATTATTTTTCATTCTTAAAGAATTGAGATCTATTATCAAATGGATCACAGATTTGGAGGACTTTGGCCTGCTAGGCTTTTATGATATTACTCTAGTTTTCAAGGATCCCAAACTATTAGGAAATTTTTAGAGTAGAGCTGCAGTGTTCCTGGAGAGCAAAATGCTTTGGATTAATGTCAACTGCTTCTTGTCTCTGTTTCACTTTTGTTGGGTTGAAGGTTTTCCTCAGCGCTGGTCCCAGGGGTGGAAATCTTTAGATTTTAAGTTTTCTCATAATTTTTATTGTATTAACTTAAATAACTATTGTTTACCCTCTTAGCTTTGTTTGCAGTTGATCTTTAAATAAAAAAAATAAAAATAAAATAATGCGTTTTGTTTAGCTGAAAATGCTTGGGTGGCAACTTGCTCAACTCAAAACTTATTCTACACACTTGAAATCACTTTAGGAGTTTGGTTGTATTAGAGTTTTGGTTTTGGATGAGTTGGGTCCAAAAGTTTGAAGCTTTAAATGCATTTGAAGCTCCAATTTTTTTTTCCAATTTCTTTTGTTTATTCTTCATTTTTCTTCTTGTAATCCGATGTGGCTGTAAATATTATGAATGGCTAAACTTTTTGCTTTACAATTATTTTGAATCATTGTATGAATTAATACTGATTTCCTCATCTCTTTTTTATGTTTAATGATATCGAAATATTTATACTCTTTTTTTAATATTTTTAAATGTTTAGTCACCATTTAGCTTATACGTTTACTTAGGTGATATTTGAAAGGGCTAGCTTGAGTGTAAATTTAGTTAAAATAGTGCAAAAACTTAAAATTTGTATAGTGATTGAGTGGATGCTTTTGTTAGTAAAATAGAGATATACTAGCTAACTTTGCATAATCACTTGCTCATGATTTAAGAGAGTTTGTTTAAGTATTTTTAAAACTCTCGATTATCACTTATTTTTATTAAAAATATTTATGAAAGGAGGTTATTTAGTATTATGAAATGCAAAAGGAAATAAATAATTGTAGATCCCAATTTGTAAGTCCAAGAATTAATTATTTTTCTTTATTTTTTAATTTTAATATAATTTGCAAAATTAACTTTCTTCTTTAATTGTGTTTATCTCAACTAAACTGAATTTGCATGGTATTTGCTTGGTCACTTTTTTCTTTAAACAAATCTCCATTTCTATGATAGTTTACTCATCTTATATCAATATATTACTTGTCAAGACCTATACACATGTAGAGCAACAATACCTTTTAATAATTTTAAGTGTATCAAACTCCACGTTGAGAAGGATTTTTTTTTTTTCTAACTGATTTAGTTTGAATCTAAATTTATAGTATCTCATCAGTATAGAAACTTGATAGTTGTAATTTTTTTAAAAAAAGTCTTAAACAATAATTTACATGTTATTTTTTGGGTAAACAATCAGTTTAGTTATATTATTTAATTTCTACTTGTTTCTTAAAAAAAACTACAAGGATAATTTTTATAACAACTATAATTAAGCATCATTAGAACAACTTAAAAGTCATGTGCACAAAGCATTATACTTGTATTATGTATTATTCATGAGCATAGACTTAATATTTAATTTGGAAGGTCAAAGTTATAAACCAGTTCATAGTTATAATACACCGAATGGACTATATCAGCCATAGATTTGGTAGTGTAAAAGATTGACACAGTGGCTCATTATGATGTAACAACTCTCCACAAATAAAATAATATTATCTATCACGCTCAAAACTTATGTTACTTACCAAGTCTTTACCAGCTTCGTGCGATCAAGTATATATATGGTCAAAAAGTTGACCAAACAAGGCCTCATCCATATATAAATAGGCATAGTTTGGCACGCAACAATCTCACCCCTCGAACGCAAATACTCAAAACAGAACTGAAAATCTGAAAAGTTCAGAAAACATGAAAGCTGTTCACTTAGCCCTTATTGCCATCCTGGCCATGGCATCTTCTGGTGCCTTGGCTTTTGATCCAAGCCCTCTTCAAGACTTCTGCGTTGCCATCAACGAAACCAAGACTAATGGTGGTGAGTCCCTTTGTGTTTCTCTTTCCACTTCATTTCACATTTCTAGTTATATATATAGTACTCTACATTCATGCATGCATGCATGCATATAAACATCTTCACAATACTTATGCTTGTTTGCATCTGCAGTGTTTGTGAATGGAAAATTCTGCAAGGATCCCAAGCTTGTCTCTGCCAATGATTTCTTCTACGGTGGACTGAAACAAGGAGACACGTCTGGTTCGCTTGGCTCGGCAGTCACTCCAGTTGCTGTAAATGAAATACCAGGCCTCAATACAATGGGCATATCACTGGCTCGTGTCGATTTCGCTCCCAAGGGCTTGAACCCTCCGCACACTCATCCTCGCGGAACTGAAATTCTTGTGGTTTTGGAGGGTACTCTTCTCGTGGGTTTTGTTACATCCAATCCCGAGAATCGCCTATTCACTAAAGTGCTGTACAAGGGAGATGTGTTTGTGTTTCCAATTGGTTTGATCCACTTCCAACTCAACGTGGATAAAACGAATGCCGTTGCCATCGCTGGTTTGAGCAGCCAGAATCCTGGAGTTATTACCATTGCCAATGCCGTGTTCAAATCAAACCCTCCCATTTCTGATGAAATTCTCTCCAAGGCCTTTCAAGTGGACAAGAGCATAGTTGATGCTATTCAAAAAGGGTTATAGATAGAAAATAGTTAATAAGAAAACTCTATCTCGTATTGAATTTGAGTTTGTAATGATTTGTTTCTGGGTTTGCGTATTACAATAATGTATGGAGCTTTGTATCTTGTTTAAATAAAGAAATAAGCGATATGTGCGCACATTATAAGTTAATTATGCCTTTTTACACATATCATTATATTTTTCTACTTCTGCATACCAAGGAGAACAAATGATTTATTATCGAACATACGTCTCAGTCTGACTTATGAATGCCAAAAGAAAATTAGTGTTTAAACTTTGTGCTACAAAACAATGACGTTCTCGCGTGATATTATTTATCAAGTGTAAATTATGGGACAACATCTAAATAGCAGTAATTTTTTTTTTGTTACAAAAGTACGTACTACGGAGAATCAAAATGAACTCATGAATGACAATGTTGCTTGAACACCGAAAATGAGCTTCAAAAAGCCATAGTCAACAATTGAGATCACAATCTATTTTCTTTTCCATACAACAAATCCGTTTCAGTAAATTCCACTGATAATATATAAATTTATGTGATTTTCTAAAAAAACATAATTTTACTTTAACATAAATAAATTTCAAGTTTACTTTGAATATTAGGACACATATCAAATTTCACTAATTATATTTGCCATAGAAGCAATAGTTTTGAATAGGCCTACACTGATGAAGATTTAGACTCAGTTGTTTCATTGAACTCTCATCAGAAAATGCAAATTCAAAGGATGACCAAAATTTGGTTGATATAACTGGAATTACTATGGCTCAATCTCCTCCAAAACCAATTGTGGAAGTTCCTGAAGATGATTTAGAATTCATGGAAGACAATTCAGCTAGACCAAATACTCGTAGTTCTAGACTATTTTTTGGAACATAGTTTACTTTTGAAGATCTACCTTTGCATAAATGAAGGAACAGACTTCATAAGTTTGGTGCATGGATTAGCTTACAAATGACAAGACGAGACATTATTATGCAAGAAGCACTCTTGGAATTTCTATCAAGAATGATTGAAAACTTGAGAGAATGGTTTCAAAACTTCAGTGAGTCCTAGAAGATCCAAGCAGTACAACTTCCTAATGCAGTATCATTTCTTGGAATGATACATAAAGAATTCCTTGGTCCATGTTTATGAAATTACACAGGCCAGTATCTAGAAGATTTCATAAATCACAATTAGCATGCTAGTTTAGTATAATAATATATTTCTTACTGTTTCTCTTGCCAACATATAATAGATTCTTTTGAAACTAATGCATCAATTAAAGTACGGTCTGGAGGCTGGATGAATGAAATGTAATTATGAGACATGTAGATAGTATTTTTTTTTTTAAGTCGACGGGAAAAGTTTTCAAAATGCATATAATTTCTTAAGATGACGATTGTCAGTTCGAATATATATATTTTCGTTATAGCTTCTCGGGTGATATACTATTTTATTTTAAGGGGAAGAAAGGTTGATTTAGAATTAAAGTCTGCCTGTTTTCTATGTTTAAAAACTATTTTAAGTGTTTTAAATTTAATTACTTTTAAAATTATTTTTATTCTTTTGTTTTTTAAAAATAAAAAGATAGAAATAACGTCAAATTGTTTTCTTTTTATTTTTCTTATTTTTAAAAAGACCCGACATTTGATTATTAGAAATTATACAGTTAGCTAGATCATTTTCTATTATAAATTATTACCATTAACCATTTGTATCCATCATTATTAATCTTTTTAATTCAAAAACTGTTTTTATACTACTATAACCAAACAGATTTTTGATTTGTTTTGTTTCAAAAATATACTACAAATACTGTTGCAAAATAATTTTCAAAAATAAAAAATAAAAATAGAAACCAAAGGGCCCACAGTTCCTTTAAAAAAAGTGGATTTGATAGACGTGTGAATATGAAAAGGTCTTCTCTTAAACACGTTTTTATTAATATTGATCAGTTCGGAATGCTTCTAGTTATTCTCGTTTTCCAAATGCTTCAAATAGTAGTTAT